CATGTGTAGTAGAACGTGTGTATTAGAGCATGTGTAAGAAAACATGTATTAGAACATGCTTCAAAACATGTGTAATAGAACATGTGTATTAGAACATGTGCGGTAGTACATGTATTAGAACATGTGCTTCAGAAGATGTGTAGTAGAACATGTGTATCAGAACATGTGCTTCAGAACATATATTAGAACATGTGTATTAGAACATGTGTAGTAGAATATGTGTAATAGAACAGGTGCTTCAGAATATGTGTAGTAGAACATGTGTAATAGAACATGTTTTTTAGAATATGAGTAGTAGAACATGTGTAATAGAAAATGTGTATTAGAACATGTGCTTCAGAACATGTGTATTAGAACATGTGCTTTAGAACATGTGTATTAGAACATGTGCTTCAGAACATGTGTATTAGAACATGTGCTTCAGAACATGTGTAGTAGAACATGTGTATTCAAACATGTGCAGTAGAAGATGTGCTTCAGAACATGTGTAGTAGAACATGTGTATTAGAACATGTGCAGTAGAACATGTGCTTCAGAACATGTGTAGTAGAACATGTGTAATAGAACATGTGCAGTAGAACATGTGCATCAGAACATGTGTATTAGAACATGTGCATTAGAACATGTGCAGTAGAACATGTGCTTCAGAACATGTGTAGTAGAACATGTGTAATAGAACATGTTTAATAGAACATGTGTATTGGAACATGTGTAGTAGAACATGTGTATTGGAACATGTTTAATAGAAAATATATTAGAACATGTGTATTAGAACATGTTTAATAGAACATGTGTAATAGAACATGTGTAAGAGAACATGTATATTATAACGTATGTAAAAAAACATGTGTAGTAGAAGATGTGTCATAGAACATGTGCTTCAGAACATGTGTATTCGAACATGTGTAATAAAACATGTGTGTTAGAACATGTGTAATAGAACATGTGCTTCAGAACATGTGTATTAGAACATGTGTATTAGAACATGTGCAGTAGAACATGTGTAATAGAACATGTGCTTCAGAACATGTGTAGTAGAACATGTGTGGTAGAACGTGTTAATAGAACATTTATTAGAACATGTGTATTAGAACGTGT